TTATCCGATTATCCGATTCTCCGGCATGCTGGCAGTAGTGCGCAACACTCTTATGTAGTCAGTAGGAACATACCATGTTATAATACATAATAATCATATGTACGATTGGCTTATGGGAGGCGAAGTATCAAGCCAATATTACGGTATTGTCCGCTTGCAATAGTAAAGGATGAATTGGCGAAATACACGTTCAAGGTTGATATAAGACACAGCTAAGCGCCTTCGAACGAAATTTTTTCTGATATCTCATGAGTGTCTCTCAGGAGCATGGCGTCCTGTGTTTCTAACGTTCTGATACCTGTACAAAGGCACGCTTTGCATGTTTTGGCGAAACAGGAATAGTTTTTTTACAGGAGAAATTACAGCAGCGGTTGAAAGTGACTGCCAACTGCATAGTGTGAGCCATCCATGCCGAGTAAGAGACTCCACGCAGCATTTTTAGAATAAGCGTCATTACGAAAACGACAACCGATAACGACACTGCATTGTGAATAGAAGTAACTGACCAGGCTGAATAAGTAAGCCAGGGAGCGCGCGTTCCCCAAACCAGTGAGAGCCGCTTGGTCCAGTGCATGCAGTTCAGGGCTGTTTACTGTACACTTGTCCGCAACGTCTATCCATGGGGCATTTCGCATTGCCCTTCCAATGAGCGTGTCCTGAACGAAGAACAACGAGTTCTGCTACAACTGGCAAATTGGACTGTTACGGGGGAATTCGTGCATATTGATTGTTGCTGGTATAAAGCTCTTAATCAGTCAATACATAACTAAAGATTAAGGAAGAAAGCCTCGAGTGTGTCTGAAAAAGCAACACTGCGATGTGCAAAGTAAGCAAGGTTGACAAGTTCTTCTTTAAGTCCGCGCAGATTACCTCGTTCATATTGTAGAAAGTGCGGACGACCCGTGCAACTTTCGGGTTATGCCACATTTCTGAGAATATTTGCGGGACTGACGGCGGAGTCATTCTAGCCACCCGACGCTCCTCAGAAGGGCTTCAAACCAATGTGGTAGTCGACTCCTGAGAGAAAAAGTACACTAAAAAAACAATAGTAAAATATGCTAATAATATAACGTAAAGCAAAAATATTTGCTTCGATCTTTTCGAAAATAGAAATCTAGAGAATAGAAAAAGAGTAACGGGTAAGATTACAGCTCATGCTGAAAGTAATGGAGATAATATTTCGGAACAGTGATTGTAATATGAAACGTGTTGATCAATCGAGATCAGTAGTATCGGAAAAATTTTAAAACATACGAAGCCACTTCCTGGTTGTGAATGAAGTTGGGGGACTAAAGTTCAAAGATCTAACCATGTGGTTTTGTGATTTCTTCCCTGAGAAACTGCCCGACTCCTCGATGCTTCTCATCTATATGCCTTACGATTTGATCCAGGAGCCATCCTAAGGTGTATGCATGATAGGTGGTATTCTGTCCAGGTGGGAGCTTTGGTGCTTCATTCTCTAACACCTCTCTCATTATATTGTGATCCAGTGCCATTTCCTGAGTAATCATCGCATCTAAGTACGGTAGACCGGCCTGAAGGCAAGATACGTATTTCGGATAGAAGCAAGGATAGAAGGATGCAAAGTACTCCGGTAGCTAGCCTTATATGTTATGGTAGCGGAAAATCGCTGCAATATGGTCACTGATTGATTGGTGTTGCGAAGAACAATACAGACGCTTAGAAGCACGGCCGTTGAACTCAAGCTCGCAAGCGGATTTACACGTACGCTAATGCTTGATTGCTTCCTTCTTATTCTTTAATGAGTCAAAATTGACGCACCATGTGCGACAGAACCCATTCGATGGTGATATTTTCTTTGCCATTCTTCGCAAATCCTGGCCAATGTTTCGCGACAGGATCGTCGTAATTGAGGCGGCCTCGATCGGCGAGCACAGCTATACACAGTGCTGACACAGCTTTAGTAATGGAGAACGTTATCGTAATCGTGTCCTGGATATCTAATTTATTTCGACTTATCAGTAATCCTAAACAATAGTTGGCATACCTCCTTCCAGGTGCGGACAGCTTGCTTATCGGCGTATCCGCCCCATATGTCTACTACCTTTTCTCCTTTTACAAATACGGCAAATGATGCTCCTCCGGGTTCCCATCCATCGCGGAAGTTCTGCCTGAACAAAATGTGTTCGATGTTAGCTTACTGCGATTTTGAAAGTAGCACTCTTCTAAAGCAATAGTAGACGGTTAATTGTTGAAAGCGTACTCGAACGCTCTTCGAACGTTCTCGAATCCTTTCTTCACCTGTCCGTCAAAGTG